TATGAATCTTTTGAATAAATTCTTACATTAAATAACTACTCCAATATTTTATGTTGGATACACACACACACACACACACACACACACACAGTGTGTGTGTGTGTGTGTGTGTATGAATACCCCTTGAGGACAGAAGAGAGCATTGGATCCCCTGGAGCTGGAATCACAGGTAGCCTAGAGCCACCCAACATGGGTTCTGGGAAACAAACTTGGAGCCTCTGCAAGAGCAGGCAGCTCTGCTAATCACTGAACCATCTCTCCAGCTCCTGAACTTGGATTTAAAGCCAAGGGTATGCTTAAAATAAAATTGAGAAGGAGAGAGAGAGAGAGAGAGAGAGAGAGAGAGAGGAAGGAGAGAGAGAGTGCACGCATTGTGGGAAAGAACGAAAGTATACAAATGGCTTGGCTTTACCAAGTGCGTCCACACGCGTGTACGCACAAATGCACAGGTGCCGTGCTTGACATAGATGTGATGACATGAACTCCAACTGTCTAGAGCTCTAAAGAGCTTCCATTACCCATGTAAAAACAGTGCCCATGGCTTTCAAATATGTTGGGTAAAAATGCAAATATAAGCCTGGCATGGTTTAATCCCAGGACTCCAGGAGACAGAGACCGGCAGATTTCTGTTAAGAGATCAGCCTGGTTTGCCTAGAGAGTTCTAGGACAGCCAGGGCTATGCAGAGAGACCCAGTCTCAAACAAAACAAAACAGTGCAAGCACATACACACACAGACACACACACACACACACACACAGAGACACATGTACACACACATGTGTGCACACGCACACACACACAGGCACTCACAGAGACACATGTACATATACACACACATACTCACACGCACGTAAGTGCATACACACAGTTGACAGCAGGTAGGAAGAAAGGACACGGAGATGTAAAAGCGACACATAAGAGAACCTGCGAGAAAGGAGATGAAACTTGGCCGCCAGCACAACGGAAGCAATAAAGAGGATGAAAGCAGAAATGGCAGGGAAATTAAAATGCGCTCAGTAAACCAGCAAACAGGACTGCATGACCACACCCAACAGGCAGGGGATTACTACGTGTTTAGAATGAGGCTCTTGGGGCACTTGCCCCCATGCCCGATGACTTAAGTTTGATCCCCCAACCCTAGGTGAAGAAAACCTTCTTCATTTTCCTCTGGTTACACGCCAGGTGTGGCAGAAACACTTACACACAAGAAAGAGAGAAATATTTTTTAAATGAGTCAGAGCAGAGGTAGAGAAAGGTGGCAGGGATTACAAAGCACATGAGCGCGTCCTCGGGGACGAGAAGCACCCGCCGTCCCGAGGGTAGGCTGAGTTCCACTGATGTATCCAATGCATGGAAGCGTTAAATTGCACACGTGTGGTTGTTGGTGTGTCCATTGACCTGCAGCAAAGCTGTTTAAAATGATCTGTTTCTTTCCCAGCCTCTCAGCCCCTTGGATCACAGCACCACACCCGCGGGGTTTTGGGTTCTCATTGTGTGTATCATGATCTAAACATATGTGTTTTCTATTCCCTTTCGGATGTTTCTCTACCCTTTTAACCCCGTGTGTGTCTAATGGCCCCAGCTCTTTCCCCCATGTGGTTCTGTGACTTTTGCTTGCAAGCTTAACCTTCATAGGTGCTGTTGAGGTCACGTGACCCTGAGTGGGGTGGGGGCATGACACACAGACAACCCCAGATCCTCTGTGTGTGTCTTTTCCCGGTTCTTTGTTTCTAAGACAAGGTCACTCTGTGTAGCTCTGACTGCCTGGAACTCACCAGGCTGGCCTTGAGCTCGGAGATCTGCTTGCCTCTGCCTCTCACGTACTGAGATCAAAGACGGGCACCACTAGGCCCCGTTCTTTGCCATGTTCTTTAGGAAACAACCTAGATAACTTTTAGGTTTGTAGGTCAGCCACACCACACAGTACATATTCGGATCCAAACAGACATGAAATCTGTCTCTAGAGCTTTCGTACATCAGGAGAGCTCTACCTGTGCAAGCGGCAAGCAGGTAGTGAAGGTTAGATGTGAAACCTCCCCCACAGACTCCTGTGTTTGAACACGGTCCTCAGCTCCCCAGGAGGTTGGTGCTGTTTGGAGAGGCAGAACTTAGCTACAGGAAGTGGGCACTGGGAGGTGGGCCTTGAGGTTTATATCCTGGTCATGCTTTCTGTCCTGTTGCTGCTTCCTGATCCAGGGAGATGTGAACAAGCTGTCTGATGCTCCTGCTGTCACAGCATGAGCCAGGGAAAGTAATTAATCAAGTTCCACCAGGTTTCCTTCAACGAGAAGTTGGTTCAGAGGTATCCTTAGAGCTGCATCTGGCCCAGGAGCTGGGACGGAGGGTTCCGGAGACTTCTGGCTAATACGGTATGAGAGCATTGCACACTAGAACCCTTCTCTACCTCGCCATCTCCTCCCCGACCCGACTCCCACCACCTTCGGAACAGAAGAGGAAGGTGTCATGCGGGAGGCTGCGGCAGCCATCTTGCTGCCATAAAGCTGTGGACAGGCAGGGAAGTCCGTGGCCTTCATGACACGAATTGTTGCTGAGGTTGTGTGTGTGCGCGCACGCACACATGTGCATGTGTGCCTGTGTGCTCACGTAGAGGACACTGCCCACCTTTGGTTTGTTATTGAGCTAGGGCCTATCACTTTTCCTGCTGTACCTGGAACTCACTGCCTTGGGTAAGCTGGGTGGCCAGTGAGACCTAGGGATCCTCCTGCCTCCTCCCCAGCACTGGGATTACAGGTTCATGCCACGTCTAATGGTTTTTATGTGGATGTCAAGGATTTAACTGAGGTCCTAGTGCTTACAAGGTTTTTGCCAGCTCAGCCATCTCTTCACCACCAGCCCCAACACACCATTTTCCAAACTGACTGCTTTCATTTGAAGAGAGATGAGCATGGGAGAGGAGACTGGAGAAGCAAAGGAGGGTGAATCATGGCCGCCCCCTCCTGTCCTGTTACCAAAGGTGGTGGGATTTTACTAAAGGGCCAGAGTTGGAGTCCTGGGCATCTCGGAACACAAAAGGACCCAATGTGACACATAGGAGTGCCCGGGAAACCATAAAAAGGGTTGGGTATAAGCTTAGGGGACTCATGTCCAAAGACAATAAGACCCACATCTTCAGCATGCACAGGCCTGAGCAGGCATGTGCTCCAGCATCTGCACAGTCACAGGTGTGAGCTGGCATGGGCCCCAGCATCTGCACAGTCACAGGAGTGAGCTGGCATGTGCCCCAGCATCTGCACACAGTCATAGGAGTGAGTGACATGTGCCCCAGCATCTGCAGAGTCACAGGCGTGAGCTGGCATATGCCCCAGCACCTGCACACAGCCATAGGAGTGAGTGGCATGTGCCCCAGCATCTGCACACAGTCATTGGCTCTCATCTGCTTAGGGACAGGGGTATGTTTTTATCAAGCAATACTGACCGTCAGCTATGTGTAGGGATTTATAGCATATGCTTTAGGTCAGGACTTCGTATGTATACACATATTTATGTGTGCATACGTGTACAACTATTCATATGCACGTGTATGAGTACATATGTATACCAACTGTTTATATACCTGTGTATATGTGCATGCATATATCAACTGTTATATACATGTGTATATGTGCATACATATATCAACTGTTTATATACACATGTGTATGTGTGCATATGTATATCAACTGTTCGAAAATTTCTTTTTTTCTTTTTTTGGTTTTTTGAGACAGGATTTCTCTGTAGCTTTGGTGCCTGTCCTGGAACTAGCTCTTATAGACCAGGTTGGCCTCGGACTCTCAGAGATCCACCTGCCTCTGCCTCTCGAGTGCTGGGATTAAAGGTGTGCGCCACCACCGCCACCTGGCTGTTTGAGAATTTCATAGTGCACTGTGACCATGCTCATCCGTGCACTCCTCGTAGCTCCTCCCAGATGCACCCGCACCTCCCTCCTGCCCCTCCACTTCATGTCTCATGTTGTCCCCATCACCTCCCATCTGTGCTGGCCACAGACTCCTGGGGGTGGGCCTTCCACTGGCGTGTGGACAGCCTGCCTGGGGCCACACACCTGAAGAAAAATGACTCTCCCACAGAAGCCATCAACTGTCCATAGCTCCTTAGTCAGGGTCGGGCCCTTGTGAGCCCTCCCTCTCTGTGCTTGAATGTAGACTGGCTTTGTCCTGTTCAGGCGACCTCAGCTGCTGAGAGTTCATGATCGTGATGGTCCTGTCATGCTCAGCAGGCCCTGTTTCCATACTGCTCTCCTAGCCTCTGCTCTCACAGGGTCTCTAGCCTCCTATCCCTCTTCTTTGACGGTCCCTGAGCCTTGGTGTGTGTGCGTATCTTTGTGTGTGCCTCTGTGTGTCTGTGTGCATGATCCTGTGTGCATGTGAGTGTGTGCCTGTGTGCATCTGTATGTATCTGTGTGTGTGACTCTGTGTGCATCTGAGTGTGTTTCTTTGTGTGAGTGTCTGTGTATGTGTTTGTGTGTTTCTATGTGTGTGTCTGCATGTATCTGTGTGTATTTGTGTCTACGTGTGTATATGTGTCTGTGTGTGAATCTGTGTCTCTGTGTGTGTGTCTGTGTGTGTATGTGTCTGTCTGTGTCTCTGTGTGTGTGTGTGTGCCTGTCTATCTGTGTGTCTAAGTGTGTCTGTGTGCCTGTGTCTCTGTGTGTGCCTGTGTGCCTGTGTGTTTCTGTGTGTGTATCTGTGTCCTGTGTGTGCCTGTATGCCTGTGTGTCTGTGTGTCTGTGTGTGTGTCTCTGTGTGTCTGTGTCTCTCTGTGTGCCTGTGTGTGTCTCTGTGTGTCTGTGTGTGTCTATGTATTTCTGTGTGTGTCTGTGTGTATCTCTGTGTGTGTGTGTGTGTGTGTGTGTGTGTGATTAAGACTTTTGAGCTTCTACCACTGATGATCTCTTTTCTCCCAAGAATTTTTATGTGACCGCAGGTAAATATGGACATGAACCAGACATATAAATGAAACATTTACTGAACACAAATCACAAAGCAGTTTATTTTAAAGTAACTTGTTGCCATACATATAATATAACTTTTGTTGGTGAGGAAGGCAAATTTGCATATTAACGAGACAGAGGGGCCTATTCATCTCATACAATACAATCTAAAGACGTGCTCACCTGATGTGTACGCACTGATGCGTACATGCTCAGGAATAATGGTTAGAAATCATGAGAAGGCCTTGTTTTCCCTGTGTAAACAGTTATGCTTCTACAAGGGTAGGAAACTTTGTATGTTACGTGTAAACCCATAGTTTGCAACAGGCGATAGTCTCAAATCTGAGCTGAGGTGACACAGGCGCATTCGTGGTACGTAACATGCAGAGCACAGACTTCTCATGTCATGTGTTCATGGCTGCAGTGACCTGACTCCGTGCATCACATGTGAGCCCTGCCAGGCACACCTCAGATTCACAGTGTGTTTAGGTTTTGAGTTAATTTTTGTCTGTTGTGTGCTGTCAAGCCCTTCATGGGTGCTAAGCTTCGTGACCTGCCATGTGATCACATGAGCCTGAAGGTCTAGAAGCTTGATTTCCCATCAGTGGTCGACAAACCTACAGAGAGCCAGATAGGAAACATTTTGGCTTGTGGGTCATGCGGTCTGTTGTAGCTACCATCCTGCTGTAGCAAGAAGGCAGCCACAGAATATGTGTGAACAATGACTGTGTCTCAATAAAACTTTATTTAAAGAAGTGGTGGCCTGAATCTGGCTCTGAGCCAGCAGTAGTTTTCATCCGCCGTGTTAGCTGCAGCACGCTGCGCTGGAGAGTCTAAAGGGGAGAGTCTAAGTCCCAGGTTTCCTACAAGTTTCAAAAAGTTCTCCTCTTATTTTAATTCAACTTCTGTAAGTTTTTTTGGAGGGGAATGCTGACATTCGAAGCTGCACTCACACAATCAGGGCTCAGCCAGGCTCCCAGGCAGTGCTGGTGCAGACTGGACCCGAGTCTCCGAAGCTGGTGCCCATAGACGGCACATGGCTCTCGCAGGACCTTCTGCTAATGACAATCTTCTGGCCCAGTGCTGGTGGGAATGTGGGCTGGCCCGCCCGACCACATTTCAGACATTCCCCAGGGAGCGAAGCCCCTGCGACCGGGCAGCAACACAAACATCAGTGCCTTTAACACATTTCCTGCACACCCGACAGCAACCTCACGTTGTGGGTGGGAAAGGAAGAGGCAGACAATCGGAGGAAAACAGAGAGGCATGAGGCTGGGAGGAACTCCACGGGAGAATAGTCTAATTATAGAGTCCGCTCTTCGGGCCTGAGAATCCAGTGAGACGGGAAGTTAGAGATGCCAGACGGGTTGCAGGGAGGAGCCCCGCATGCCCTGTAGTGAGGTTCCCGTATGTGACCCCGTTAGAGCCCCCCCCCCCCCACCGTGACGTTGGTATCAAGGTCCGGTTCCTTAGGTTCTGAGAGTTAGCCAGATTGCAGTAGGCACCAGCGCGGGGAAATCACAGTGCGGGGTCCCTGGGGTCCATGCTGGTATTCCAGGCACGTGCTGCCGCTGACAGCTTTTTAGGTGCACACTGAGAACGTACCTGGCCCTCAGACTTGTGCCGCAAAACACCTGACTCCTCCGCCCACCAGCTCCCAGTCGTTTTAAGCGGTAACTATCTTGAGACCTGGGTGGAGATGAGCCAAGACCAGGCAGCTGCTGTGGGCTGGGAGGAGGACTAAGGTGGTATCGGCTTCGTCCTGGGGACACTTCACGTCATTGAGCTCTCGAGGAAATGCAGCAGACATTTCCGCGTTTGTTCCTTGGCTCCTTGACATGCTCAAGTGCCTTCTGTATCACAGACATGCACCAGCATCAGGAGATGCTGAGTGAGGGGGAAGAATGCAAGAGGCAGAGGGGAAGGAAGCCAGGGAGGCCACAGCAGCCTCCGTGTGCTTTGGTATTGAAAGAAAACAGCTGGCTTTCCCCGTCCGCCTGCATCCTCTATCGGGCCGGCTCTGCTCCGGGAAAGGCATGGCTGCACTCGGGTCCTCTCCACCCACCACCATCAGGTCGACACAGAAGAGCTGCACCACTCAGGCACAAGTGTCTGGGACTCACAGTTTGCCTGCCCTTCTGACCCCAGTGCTGGGGGCGGAGGAGGCCTGCATGTCTGTATTGTCCATCGCTGGTCTCTCTAGCTTGTCTCTGGCCCAGTTTCCCGTTCACCTCTGTCCAGGGTTGTCTAGCAGGCCTGACTCACAGGAAACCACAGCCAAGTCACCGGGTGGTCTGAGTCACTGACCCTTGGAACATCTTACACAGTAATAAAAGGCAAAGTACCTAAGTAAGTAGGGAGTTTCGCAACAGATTGAGTTAAGAACCTTTCTTGGTGCAAGGTTGGTCTGGGAATTCCCCATGTGTGTCAGGTGACTTATCTTTGGCAGCTGTGAAACAACCTAATTGCTTTATCCCCTGGCAACCACCTTCCCTGTCCCTCTTCCCCTTCACCTCGCTCCTTTGTTTCTACGAATAGCTGCTGGCTCCCAGACAGCACCCTAGAACCTGGGAAGAAACTGGTGCGGTTCCATGGGAGTCCCCAGGTCGCACAGGACAGCACAAGCCGGTGAAAAGGCAAGCAGGGCACGTTTGAGGGCAGCAGTAACGGGGGTGGGGGGGGCCTTGAACTGGTCTGTGGGAGTGTGAGCCAGGTGACACACAGAGAAAAGACAGTCCAAGCAAGGTGAGGTGACCCTTTGCCACTTTCTATGGTGGTCAGCTGCAGTGTCTGTCTGTCTGTCTGTCTGTCTGTCTGTCTGTCTCTCTGTGTGGGTCAGAAGTGGTGTCCTTCTCTGTCACCCTCCAATTTACCTCCTTGAAGCAGTCTCTCACCGAGTCTAGAGAAAGCCCCAGTGATCTTCCTTTCTCTGCATCCACAGCCCTGGCATTTACGGGTGAGTGTGCGACCTGGCCTGACTTTTTATGTGGGTGCTAGGGATGGGAACTGAGGGTCTCACGCTTGCCAAGCAAACATTCTGACCCTCGGAGCCATCTGCAGCCCCAGCTATGACGTTCTCTGGAGTAGAAGCCTCCTTTGGGGTCATTTGAGGCTACAAAGTGCCCCTCAAACACAGGTGTCTCTGCAAAGGCAGGGTGTGGACAAGCCAACAGGCCAGCAGGGAGATGGAGACTGGTCCTTTCCCTAAGGTTCCATCCCGTGGCTGAGGCTGCAATGAAGAGAGGATCCATCTGCCAGAGATCGTCACTCCAGGCACAGCAAGGGACAGAGGACTCAGAAGGGATTGGTGGCCAGGAATTTTGGGCACCTATGACATAGTCACTCACCTTTGATTTTGGTTACAACTCTGGTAGCCAAGTTCAGTGTGGGATTACGTGTCAAGCTGCTTCTCAGACACCAAAGAAGCCCGTCCCTCACTGCAGTGTGCACCCCTTTCTGAAGCTAGGAGGTCAACAGACTTCAAGTTAGTTAGGTTGTATATTACAGGGGAACTCCACAGCAGCCTCTCAGTCAGTGGACAGTAAGATCCAGGAGACAGATACCCAGCCTCCCATTCTCTGGATAGAACATTCTAGAAGGCAATAGCTGCCAGAGATTGAGCCCTGTTGCCCACAGCAGTTACCTTGATGCCACAGGCAGTCACCTTCCTCCTTTTTCTGTGTTCTGAGACCTCCCCAGAGACCACCTGGCCAAGCTCCTTTCCCACTCTGATTCTAAGGAAGCCAGACAGAACTTTGCTCATACTTACTATTGACTCACGGAATGAAGATGAAGGGTGTTTGTGGTCCCCTCAGCTTCCTCAAAGGACCATCTCTAGCATTTTGGAGCTGCCATTCATACCTGAACCAGAGGAGAGGTGATTTATTTGTTTGTTTTTAATGGTTTTGGAAACCTTTGGACCCACAGGAAACGGTTGTCACTAAGTCAAGATGTGCAAAGAGCAACAGAGAAAATCCAGGAAGTGTCAGATGGGGGGAGGGCAGGGGCAGGGAGGGGCAGGCATGGGGAGGGGGCAAAGGGTAGGGGGTAGGGTTGGGGGTAAGGCTGGCAGAGGGACTTGCTCAGCTTGTGAGTCAGGACAGTTTGACTCAAGGGAAGCTGCGTGTTGCTCGTCCTCTGGTTAATAGGCGTTGTTTTGTTCTCCAGGAACACAGGCTAAGAGGGTCAACAGCCAAGAAAAGACTGGAATAATGGACGAGGCTGTGCACGGCTCTAAAACCATGTGGACACTTTACCTTCGTGAACATGCATTACAATAAGGAAGCAGTGGGATTTTTATCCTTTGAAATCAAAAGTTAATAGATAAAATGTTTATGTCTTTATTCTCAAGATAACCTGCTCAAGATAGTGTCAGAATAATTTAGGAAGAAAAAAATATATATTTGAGAAGAGATCCTTTTCATCCAGGTGGTAACTTCAAAATGCTTAAATCTGTAGGGAAAAAATATTCTAAGATGGAAAGAAACTTGTGTATTTGGCAAAATGTGGTTAACTCCCACCCAGATATTTAAAGACACTCCTAATTTCTTTTTTAAATTTTGGGACTGGAGAGACGACTCAACAGTTAAGAGCACTTGCTGCTCTTGCAGAAGACCCAGGTTCAGTTCCTAGAACCCACATCAGATGGCTCACAACTGCCTGTAACTTGGCTCCAGGGAATCTGACTCCCTCTTCTGGCATCTGTGGGTACTGCACACACACACACACACACACACACACACACTTTTTAGAAATGATTATTTCCAAGTATCAGGCAAATGTTATTTAATAAACGGAGTCAATTGGTTGTGTAGTTGAGAACATGGGGTTTGTTCTCAGGGAGAAAAGTAATTTTTTTTAAAGAGCTCCTCATGTCCCTTTAGTTACAAACGAGCCCCCAAGCCCTTGCTAGGACACGGGCTTTGCTCTATAGACATTAAAACAGCTCAAATAAAAAGTGGTAAAAATACCAAATGCTATCAAAGATTTGGCTATTTGGAAAAATAGTTCTTATACATTATTTGTGGAAATGTAAATTGGCATCATCCCTCTGGAAAACGATTTGGCACCACCATCAAAAACCAAACACACACTTTGCCATGTGGCCCAGAAATTTCATTTCCAGAGAAATCAAAACCTCAGCAATACAGAGTTCATATGATCATAGCAGATGTATCTGTAAAGGCTCCAAATGAGAAGCAAACCAAGTGCCTCGCCACGGAGGAGTAAACAGGCAGCAGCCGTTCATCAACTGCAATCTCACCCAATAAAAAGAAATCAAATACTAATTCTCACAACAGCCCATATAGTGACTCACTCAAGAGCATCGCGGCGAGTGAAGAAAGCCAGTCTCAGAGCTCTGTGTGCTGTTTGATTTCATGAACACACCAATCTTTAGCGGACTAAACACAGAGAAGGAAGCAGCATTCAGAGCTGGGGGTGGGGCAGCAAAGGACCATGACTCCAGAGACAGACTGCAGAGTGGACCCAGGGGTCAACACGTGACAGAAAGACGTGGAACTACACACACTGAATCAGAGTTGCTTTCCCGGTCTTACCCTTACAGCCAGATCCTGGTGGAGATGGGGAACGGGTGTATGACCCTATAACTATTTCAAAATAATTGGTTTGGTCAAGCCTGGCGGTACAGACTGTAATCCCAGTGGCCAGAGAGACTGAGACAGGATTGCATGTTCAAGTCTGCCAGGGTCTAGGGGAGAGCTTCAGGCTCACCTAAGCAAATTGCTTGAGACCTTGTCTCAAGCTTTAAGACTACAAAAAGACCTGGTGCTTCCCCAGCATGCAGGAGGCCAAGTTTGTCCCTCTTGTGATGGTTCGAGTGAGACGTGTCCCCTCCCACAGGCTCAGGTATTTGAACTCTTGGCCCATCACTGGTGGAGCTATCTGAGGAGCTGGTGTGCTCTTGCTGGAGGAAGTACGTCACTAGGGTGGGCTTTGAGAGCCACAGCCTCACCCCACTTCCAGTGCACACTCTCCGCTTCAAGCTTGCCGTTGAAAGTGATCTCTGCTTCCTGTTCCAGCCCCTAGCACTGGGCCTTCAGTTGTTATGGACTCTTATCCCTCTGGAGCCATACACCCAAATATACCCTCTCTTCCTTAAGTTACTTTTGGTCACAGCAAAAACAAAGTGACCAAGACACCTGCCAGGCAAAAAGAAAGAAGGAAAGAAAAAGTGGGGGTAGGTTGGGCTAGGATTTTGTTGTTGTTTGTTTTGCTTTGGGGTTTTTTGCTTTTGTTTTTATTTGTGATCATCCAAACTTATTAGGAGCATAGAAGAAAGTGAGAACAGAAAAATCACCTGAAATCATCCCAAGAGCTCTGGCATAAGAACCTCCACGCCCTGTGTCCGTCTGTCCTATCTTCTCTCCTGGTTGAGGGACAGGAAGTGGCAGGCAGTGGTGTTTTCCTATCTTGAGCAAGAATGAGGGCCACAGACGAAATGCTTGCTTTGTGCTGCCGGGTCTTCAAACAGGTTTGGAATGTTTAGATCCCATGGAAGTCCGAAGTTCAGCAAATTGTTGCTTAGCAATGGCATGCCTCTTGCCCCACCACACACACACACACACACACACACACACACACACACACACACACAGCAAGAGACTGGACTCCTGGTCGGACAACGTGATCAGTGTTTGAGGAAATCCCCCATCATAGAGAAAAACGATTTCTTAAGAATCAAAACTAGAAGGAGGGTCGGTGTGATTGTACCTTCCCCAAATGGGAACAGGCATTGGGGCATCTTTTAATGTTTTATTGTTCAATAAAGCTCGAGAGTCAGATTTTAGGGAATGAACTTGATCGTTCCATGGAGCAACACAGCAATGATCGCTTCACCCTCTTCTCTACTTCCCAGATCAAAAACACCGCTCATCTTTTTAGCCAACCTCCCCCCACCCCGCCTTTTTCTCTGTGTCCATCTGTCTCCTCTGAGTCCATCAGAAAACTCCTTTGTCTACTCTTTGGGCAGTCTTCTGAGTGAAAACACAAATCTCCAACAACCAACAGGCATGCCCATGCCACCAGCGGTACCTTACTTCCATGCCCAGGAACCGTTTATAGCCGTGCCATTGTTCAGATGGTGCATCTCCTCTGGCTCCCCCACAAGCCACACTTTAATAAACAACCACTAAATCCGGGGGCTTGTGACCATCCCTGAATAATGGTGGCTCATGGACACAGCATCCTTTACAGTCTTGAACTGGAAGGGAGAATCAGTTGGTATTTATTTAGCCTGGTTCTTGACACCCAGTTATTGAACTCAGCCCAGCCCTAACTGTCCTGTGCAAGGCTTTACAGAAGTGAATGAGCACACTCTGTCCCTTTAAAGAGTCTGTTGGGGAAAACAGACCTTAAGCAAATAAAGTCCAGGCCTTCAGGAGCTCTCTGCCAAGCTACCGGTAGCAGGAAAACAAACATGGGAAGCAGGAAGGAGGTTCAGAAAGCTCCTGTGAGGTGGTTCCTGAGCCAAGAGACTGAATGCAAGGAAGGACAGGAGAGAAACCACCACTGGCGAGGCGTGGAAGGGAGGAACGGCTTGAGGCTTGAGTCAGAAGGGTGGTGTTTCTGAGGAGAGGAGAGCCTGTGGGCTGTGCTGAGGTTTGCCTGCTGTCTTCTGGGTACAGTCTGCTGAGCAACCTGTTCCCAAGTATTTGCAGAGACTCTACAGGCTGCGCTGTACTTGGTGGGGTGGGGGGGTGCAGGATCATGTTTGAACCCTGCCTTTAGGGAATTCTCAAACCACAAATGAAACGCACCGTGGACTTCAAGGGGATGTGCTGTTTTCAATCTCTGAAATGGGAAACTGCCCCCTGCGGACTGAAAATAGCGCTGGAAGGGCCGGCCAGAGTCGGCAGCCGCTCGGCATTGTTTGGGCCCAGGGGTCTAGCCTTGAACATCTCCTCTCTCCCTCCCTTCATTTCCCCTCCCTTCCCCTCTCCCCCTCTTTTCTCTTCAGTTTAAAACAGAGAAGAAACACACACACACACACACACACACACACACACACACAACATCCTTAAAGACAGTCTTGTTTACTCTCTGAGATTAAAGAGTGTGGACTACCTTGGACAACATAAGCCGATCTTTAAACTCATTGTGGACAAAGACCCTCTAATTGCTAAACTCTGAGGCGAGGTTCTGCGCAGGCATGTGCTGCCTGTGTTTACGTGTTCGCTCTCCGTGTTAGAGGCCAGGAGCTGAGTCTCGGAGCAAATTTTATTACTGAAGCTATGGATTAAAACCCATTCTTGTGCCATGCATGCCGTGGGCAATGGTCCAAAACCTACACCCTGGAGCAAGTTAGTGCAGGGCCCACCAGCATCTTTGTGTGGCATGCCTCACAGCCGATCTGGTGACTGACAAACTGGCCTTGGGTCACTGGAACGCCAACAGCAGAGGGGTGAGCTGGAGACAGAACTGGAGCCATTGGTTCTGCCTTTCTCTTCCTTGCACTGATCTTTTGCATGTGTGCATGTGCACACGGGTATTTCGTGTGTATGTGCTTGAGCACATGTGTGGGTGCACGCCTGCACATGCATATGGAAACCAGATGTCAGCATCCCGTGTCATTCTCTATCGTCCCCTGACTTCTTAGGGGATGAGGGGTAGGCACAGTCTCTCTGTAGATCTGACTGATTTTGAGCTTGCAGCAATCCCCCTGCCTCTGCTTCCGTGCTGGGATTATAGAGCTAGGCCATCATGCCTGGCTTACCTCTCCTTCCAGGTTTAGGTTTGAAGTTCATGCCACACTCCTGTCTTCCACGGCCATGACTTTCTGCAGCGTGGATCCCCGCCACCTGGCTAGGAGTCAGGGACAGAGGGTGAGAGATGAGAGGGCCTGGATGACCCCCTCTCCTGGAGAGAAGCCAGACTCTGTCGGTAGGACCTAGCGCCAGGCATGTTTTCAGGGGTAACTCTCCTCCACTGCATGTACTAAAAAGACACGCATGTCCAGTGACTGGTTCCCCTGCCCAGGCTCCTCCCACTCATCTCCAGAGGATCTGACCGCTTCTCTTGACCTCCACTGGCACCTACATACACTCACAAACTCACACACACCACACACATATGCACGTGTGAGTGCAGAGTTCAAATAAAATCTTTTAAAAGGATTTACCATTTGATTGATATTTACAATTCTAGGTAGAATTATAAAATTTGAAATAACTACTTTTTATTAATTAATTGTGTTTCTCTGAGACAGGATCTGAAGCTCACTATGTAGGCCAGGTTTAGCTTATATTTGTGGAAATCCTCCGGCCTCAGCTTCCAGTGTCCTGGAATTGCAGGCATATAGCATCATTCCCAGATTGAGATAAACTTAGATTTAACATTATCATAAATTTAATATTTTAAACAGTTTTCTTAGGAAAGTTTTAACACAGAAAAATGAGCATTTAAGTAGGAAACCAAATACATTGAATATCTTCTTACAAATATTTGAGAAAGGCGAATGAATCAAGTTTGTAAGTGGAACCAAACATAACTTCATGCAGAGACCTCTTCTAAGATGCCCAGCCTTATGAATAGGGTGTCAACATAGCCCTATTAGTTTAAGGGACTAAAATTGTCCCATAGTTTAAGGGACAAGATGGGGGGAATGCGTACATGCATGAGGAGAGGAGCGGGGAGGGGATCACAGACTGTGCAGAAAGGAGAAAGTGAGCTGAGCACAGCCTTCGCCCCTCTCTGCTTCCTGAGGGTAGAAGCAATGTGACCCCTGCCCCTGCTCCCGCTGCCTCCCCCACACGACGACGGACTGCCCCTTCACACTCTGAGCCAAGACAAACCCTCCCTTCCCTAAATTGCTTTCGTCAGATCACAGCTATGAGAGAAGGAACTTGTACCATCAGGCTGCATTCTAGAAAAAAAAAAAAGGCAGAAACAATGAGTCTAATAAATAAAAACCAGAAAAGAGAAAGAAAACTAAAAACAGATGTGCCGCTTTTCATAATTAATGTGAACTGTCAACTTGGCACGGCCTAATCACCTGAAGAAAGTGTCTGCATCAGTTTGGACTGTGGACATGTCTATAGGGAACTGTCTTGATGGTCACTGGATGTGGGAGGGGGCCCAGCCCACTAAGGGCGACACCGTTCCCTGTGCAGGTGGTGCAGGACAGGGTAAGGAACCGCACAGCATGCCCGAGCCTGAGCCACCAAGTGAGCACAGCTTCTTCAGGGTCTCTGCTTCAAGTTCCTGTCTTGGGCTCCTGCCCTGACTCTGTGTGAGGAACTGTGACCTGCACGTGAAGGCCAAATCACCCTTTCCCTCCCCTGATTGCTTCCGGTTGCAGTGTTTATCACTGAAATTCCAGAAACTGAGACACTACTTAATCCAAGAATCACAAATGAGATGTCTTTAAAAACAAGACAAGGGACTCTAAGTAAACAAAATGTGCATCCACATAAAGTTCACGAGAGACAAACACACTTAAAAGCCAAGAGTGACTAAGTGTTGCTTCTGATTCTGTTCTTTCCGACACGCACCAGGAAAACGCAAGCAGTGGAAAACCCAGAAAGATAAGGGATGACCCCCAAACTGAACTCAAGACTGAGCCGTGGAATGAAGCGTGGCGTTGTTCACGACAGGCTCTGAGCAGTGGCTGTCTGTGGCTGTCAAGACACAACAGAACAAAACGGAGAATGTTCGAATCTCAGCAACAGCAAGTTTCTGTCTCGTTCTCTCATCATCCGATGTCACTAAGGAGCTAGAAACATCCCTTAGTGGAAAGGTCTCAATATCACGGCAGTCAGCTGGTTTAGTAGCTCTATATGATTTTATTCCACCTCGAAAAACATGCTTTGAAATTAACGTCCAGTGCTGGTGGGGTGTAACGCCTGTGCAATTCTCTATGGTACCGTTTGCGAGCCTGGCAAGGGCCTGGAGATTAAAGGAACGCAAGAGACGTGGGTCATCCGTGAAGAGAGAATGCTGAATACCATTTACTTATAAGCTTAGAAAAAAACCTTATATACCTAGCTGCTGCACAATGGAAATCTTCCCGTCCCCCCAGACAGGTGGGAAATTAGCAGGCCCTATAGCTAACCCCCAGGGGGGGCAGAGGGAGCACAGGAACAAACAGGATGTTTTGCCAGAAACTGCAAGCTCTCCTCAATATGAGCCCCAGGAGGAGGGGCAGACCTGCGGGCCCTGCAGTGGGACAGCCCGGTCGGCAGAGTGCCTGCTGCACAGCGTTCAGCCTTGAGTTGTAGCCCCAGAACTGGACCCGTGACCTCTGACCATCACATGCACACATGTGCACACACATACTCACGTGAACACACATGCACATATTTCAAAATATCAGCATACATGTTGTCTTAGCCACTGTTCGGTTGCATGGCGAAGACAACTCTTGTAAAGAAGGCATTTAATTGGGGGCTTGCCTACAGTTTCTGAGACTTAGTTTATTATCGCCGTGACAGGGGCATGGGGGCGTGTATGGCA